TGGCCTTAGACTAAGAATAGCTAAGAGCATTGTTATAATCTGGCCTTAGATTAAGAATAATTTAAGAGCACTATTGAAATAGTATCTGAATTGAATAAAATGTATTGATATGAACTGAACAATACCAAAACTGTGAATGTCTGAAATGAACATTGTGTGCATGATATCAAATGATTTGATTATGAATTTAGATTCAGTTTATATGAATGTTCGACGCATTAGATATGCTTACTCAGCTTTACCGCTGAGCGTGTAGTGTGTTTTATTTGCTACACGCAGGTAAGCAGAAAGCAGAATGTGATCCTGGCGGCAGATGGGGCGAGATTGTCGGGATGGATGTGACAAGTTTTGAAACAATTTATGATATGTCAATATTAAAATCGTTTCCGCAATATTGTTGAATACTCCGTACTGTATATGTTATGAAAAATATTATTGAGATTAATAAAGTGTGTTTGAAAAGTTTTAAATTTTTACGATTACCAAGTTAAATACTTTAGTCCGAATGGGGCTGCAGACCTGGACGGATTAGGGTGTTACATCTTTGCTCCAAGTTCTGATGACACCTTTAAGCTTTTTTAATTTATTAGCAAAACCAATCATGCCATTAACATTCCTGCTGCTCTCCCAATGCTCCTTGACCATTGGTAGGAATTTGTTGTGTGCAAGCCAACAGTTGAGGAATCTGAACATTTTAGGGCCAGTATAATGTGAATTGAGGCATTTGAGAATAAGGGGTTTATGGTCTGATCCACTTTTGCTCAAGTGTGAGAGAGAGATATCTTCAAACTGGTTCACAGCCATGAAATTCAGTAGAACCCTGTTTAATCTTCTCCAAACCATTCCAGTAGATCTTCTCCCACTCCAAGTGTAAATACCTCCGGATGGGTTAATGTTATTGAGTCCACAAGCTAGTATGCAGTCATTGAAATCAGCCATGCCCTTGGCACTGGGTTGAGAACTACCCTTGTGCTCATCCAGTGAGGCAATAATGTTAAAGTCTCCACCAGCAAACCATGCCATGTCTGCTGGCATGTGCTCTAGCATTGCATCCCATAGATCAAGTCTCTCACCATCAGTGTGCTTCCCATAGACAGTGGATATGAGAAGATTATTACTAGAATTGAGATCCTGGAATTCTAGGGTGACAATTTGAGCATCAATTTTGGTGCTAACCCACTGGAGAGTAGAGTCCCAGAAGATCCAAACCTTATTATTCAATGCAACCATGTGAGAGGTGAAACTAAGTTTTTTGGCATAGATGTGTATTTCATCATCTATTACAAAAGGTTCCAAAATTGCAAGAAAGTTAACCCTATGTGTTTGAACAAGTGTCTGCAGCCTGGGTAAGGAGCTGCGCACTCCCCTGATGTTCCAGAACATAAAATTCATGAGATATCCAAGTGAGAGGTATCTAGAGCAGCTTTCATTCCTCTAGTCGGACTGAAAGCTTATAAGTTTTGGCTTTGGCACTCCCTCCCCTTGATAGAATAAGAGCTTCACAAGAGACCTTGGGGGTTCCAATATCAAGGTTTTCCAGGGCTGAGGTTTCCATAACTTCCTGCCCGTTTTGGTCTGAGTGCATGCCAATTTCTAGAATGGCCTCCAGGTTAGGATCAGAGTGGCCCAAGAAGGAGTGCAGGAAGTCATCATTAGCTTTATCATTACGAAGAAGCTGCAAGTCATCCATGCTACCCTTACACCAGAGGTTCCTGGGAAGGGAGGGACCACCCTCCAGATTTCTAGTAGAGGCAAAATGTTCCTTGGGTGAGCAAGGGCCCTCTCGATGGTGGTTGATATTGTGCATTTGGACTGATATGCTTGGAGGGGTACTGCATTTAGGAGCCTGATGAGTCACTTGTGCTGAGATTAAACCCCCTTGGACCGACGTGCATGGAATATCCCTAGACTGATCATGATGGGCCTGGCTGTTGTCCAGAGTTTGTAATGTCTTGCTTGGGGTTTTTTTCTTGTGTCTGGCAACCGTACACTTGCCCTTTGTAGCTGTAGCTTTGTCAGATGCCGACATATGGCCACCCTTGTTCATCATCCCACCGGCGAGGAGTTTTCCGGTGGGTTTTAAAGGAGATGAGCAAGAATGCCCAAATCTTCCACATTTACCGCAAAAAGGGGAATATCTTTAAAAGATGTAAATGCATTTGCATTACCAATCATGATCAAATACATTACCAAAAAGTATAGTAATATGTACATGTACAATGCCATATTACAACTGTGTGAACTTCTATTTAAGAAATTGGTAATAATAAAAATAATAACACATGAAAAACACATCATTTTTAGAGTGATTATTGGGAAGTAGAAAGAGATTGAAGAAAATGAAAAAAGTTGAAAAAAGTAGAAGAAATTGGAAAAAACTGAAAAAAATTGGAATTTTTTTAAAGAAATCACTCCATATATGAGTAAAACATAAAGAAAGTACCAAAATAGGAGTTCCACGTTTTTATTTCTTAAAGGGAGAAAGACCAAAGTAGGACTAAAACATTGAAAATATACCAAAATAGCACTTCCATGTTTTTATTCTTGAAATAGGACTTACATTACCAAACATGCATGGTCATATATATTACCAAAAAAGTATAGTAATTTGCACATGTAGACTGCCACATTTTCAAAATGCAAAGTCACATTACTACAGTGTAAAATCCTATTCCGGGAAAAAAAACATGAAAGTCCTATTTTGGTACTTTTCTATATGTTTTAGTCCTATTTAGGATGATTTCTATTATTAAAATGTTCATAACTATAGTTTAATTTTTTAAAAATGAATTTTTATTATTCCCATGTCACTTTTTTGTGATTCACACACTTTTTTTCATTTTTAATATCAATAATATGGAGTATAAATTAGGAATATTTTATCAATCTAAATTTTCCTGGAAAAATATCAGTACTTCAAATAAGTTAAAAAATAATAAGCATACTACTCTTTCTATCCCTAATTAAATGGCATGTACACTACTAACATGGTCAAATTTTATTTACTTTGTTTACCTATTATGATACTTATAATAATAATGTTAATAATAATAATAATAACAACAATGTACAATAACAATTACAATAAGAATGATATGTAAAATACATTTAAATAAATTTTTGAAGTTTCTTCCAGTTTCTTCCCACATTTTTTTCAATTTTTTCCAGTTCTTTTCTAGCTTCCTCTAGTTCCTTCCAGCTTCTTCCAATTTTTCAAGTTTTTTTTTAAAAAATTTGTTCTAACCTCCCGCTTTTTTTCTGGTATTAATGAAAACAAGAAGAAATCTACCTAGATAGAAGTAAAAACGTATGAAAATACCAAAATAGGGGTCCTAAGTCTTTTAAGACCAAAATAGGAGTATAATGGTAGTGTAGTGCAAGAGTGCGTTGGCACTTGGCAGTGTGATGGAAAAATGATGAAAGTGTAATATGTAGTATGTGAGTGTGATCAGTCAACCGTCGGCAACGGATGGCAGTGTGGCGGCGGTAGTGTGTCAGTTACAAACTTACAATGTGACGATATGGTGAGTGTGGTAGGATAACAATGACAATGTGAACTCTAATTTTGGTATTAAAAGACTTATGATTCATAATATATTTTGGTATTTTTATAGTTAGGTTTTTACTCCTATCTAAGGAGTCCTCCCAAAACAAGCATTAAGGTTCGGTTCTTTTGGGTTCAAAAATTAACTTTCAATTTTTTTTCAATTCTTTATTGTTTCTTCTAACAACGACTTAAAAATGTATTTATATATGATGAATAAAAAATAACATTGTATATGTCAATTCATTACATACCACGTCAAACACAAACAATGATGAATTTTTTTAATCAAAAGTTAGATTTTTTTTGTATATGTATTTGGGTGAGCATGTAATTGAGTGACTTTTGAACTCTTAAACTTTTCCAACGTTTTCTAATTTTTTCCAACTTTTTTCACTCCTTGAAGTTTTTAATTTCCAATTCATTTCGATTTTTATTTAACTTCCAATTCTGAGATTCCAAAACCTAAAAGTAGAGAGCCTAAATGGTTTATAGGGCCTTAGAGTTTGAATGTTTATTTAATACAATGGAGAACATATATTCTCACATCTTCTATCAATTTTGGAAGAACACCAGCGAGAGTTTCATTTGCCTCTCCACTATTCAAGATGCGACAACTATCTAGACTACTGATTGGGAAAGATTCAATCCCACTATTGGACTGTTTCTAAGGCAGAGAACTAAAATTAATTACTAGTTCCTTCTGCCGATTCGAGTATTTTGGCAGTTTTGGCTCAATTCCTTTAAATTTCAAAAACAAGCAGCTGTTTGGCAAATTGATTATTCCAACATAACATCAGTCATATCTCATACTCCGTATATCCTTAAACATAGTATCAAGAAATTAAACCAAAGAGCGACTGAGGGACTAATTAATACTAGAGCATATAAGCATGCGAGGTAAGAACGATTGTATAAACTGTGGCAATCTTTTGCGCATGTATATGTAGTAAGTACTACGTAGTAATTAAGAATCTGGTCGGTCATTTCAGCAGAATCTTGAGGACCTTACGAAGAAGTATCAATTCATTCCCTGCCTTCTCTCATGCGCATTTGAAGCCACACTTTTCGCCGAGATCCATTACGAAATTATACAGACACTCACATAGCTTACACTCACAGCTGCATGCATGCATCCAAAAAATAAATTAAAGATGGATTGTTTATTTTTTTAACGAAGAGAGTAAAAAGCAGGTGCTCAAAATTCTTTAGAAGAACAATAAATTAAAATTTGTGAATCACATATTTTTTACTTCTCGGGACGGACTAAAAAGAAAAGTAATTAAGACGATTTATTCCGAGCGAAGAAAATATCCGTCTAAATGAATCTTTGTGCTCATTTTAAATAATATTACTTCGTATATCTCCTTTTTTGGTTGATTTATATTTCAATATAGAATATACATCCATTCTTTTGAAAAAGCCCGTTTCTTTAATTTCTTGCACATCAAATTCTGACGACTAGTATATATACATATGCATCCATTCCCGATTTGTGTCACGTCATTTTTCACATCTCATATGATTTGTTGTTTGTTTGTTTGTTTATTTTCGTTAATCAATTATAGAAACATGCAACATAGTTATATCACTTTACATTATATAGAAAATGAAATGAAAGGCGTCAAAAATGACACCAGTTACTTATAAACCAGTTGCTTACATCAGTTCGTTTGGAGCACCTACGATGTACTGTTCGTAAAAATAATGGTTCCTACCTCCCTGGGTATGGAGGGGGCGGCGAGGGTGGGGCTGACAAGGGGATTTGAGAGGGGTTGGAACCATCATTTTTACGAACGAAGCATGGTACGTGCCGCAAACGAAAGGTAGTGTAATATAGTCTAATTTTATTATGAAATTTGTATATATATTGCAATCGAAATTAAACACACAATACCCACAAATAATCTACAGGAAGAGAGAAAATGGAACACAGACGATACAAAAAGATTTTTAAGAAGAAATGCTTAATTAGGACTAAAATATACTTCATATTTCAAAATACCGAGTAGCACCTTCAATGTTTTCAGAGAAAAAAAACTAAAATAAGAATAAAACATAGAAAAAAGAATCAAATTATAAATTCTATATTTAATCCAAATGTAGAACCTATAATGCCAATAACACCAACCCCTAGTACCTAAAAATATTGTGGAATATCAATATACAGTATTACATTGTCACAGTGCAATATTCATATTTTGGAGATAAAAACATGTCACTCCTATTTTGAAGATAAGGACTGTATTTTGCTCATATTTTCTGTGAATTTTTATGTTTTATTCCAAAATTATATTTAATGTCAACACATAATGCAAAGACACGGTGTGAAATATCAATATAGAATGCCAAGTTTTTACATTTCACAATACCAATATTTCTACTTGGGGAATAGAAACATAAGGGTTTTTTTTCTTTTTTTTTTTTGAAGGAAAACATAAGGGGTCTTATTTTAGTATAAACGGTGGCCTAGTTTGTGAAAAATGTTAAATTTACAATTACATTAGTCTTAACGCTTTGAATAATTTTTAAAAGTATAGACTCTCTCAAAATGTGAAAGCTAAACGTTGCCAATAGATAGGCTTTTTTAAATGCTAAATGTAAATGTTGAAACACTTGCCAATAAGCGCGCCCATATACTTTAGTCTTATATTTAGAGGTTATTTTTCTATGCGGGTGCTTATTATTGATAAATGTCCTTTAACTTGTAAGTTTCTTAATTAATAAAAAAATTTTGTAAAGTGATTTTAATAGGAGATGAGAATTTTGAAATATTCATAAAGGTTAGGGATAATTTTGTAAACGCACGTTTTGGTTAAATCGTAGAAATGAAAAAATAGCTTAAGACAGAGTAAGACGTTATTAACTGAATTATAAGTTTAAAAAACTTATATGTAATTTTGACCAGTTTACAAATATAGAATAATACGCTTAGATATTTTAAGAAATTCAAGCCAAAACCTTACCTCCAGCATGAGCGCCCTCTCAGATTGCTGCTTCCTTCGAACATTTTCGTTCCCAATTGAGAACTTAGAGTCGGATAACCTTCAAATTAAATTAATTTTTCATACCAACACAAACAAACAGAAGTAGTTGAGAGACAGTTGATACTATACACTACTCTCTGCGTTTTGAACTTTATTCTTATTTTCACTATTGGAAGAATAAGGGGTATATATATTTGAATGAACTCTCAAAATCGTTTTTTCTATTAAGCCTAAAGACTAGGCTCTCTTAGTTACTGACTTAGTCTCTTACTTCTCGTATTTATCCTATGTATTGTTAGCTGGACTCTTATCCTGTTGTTAGAGTAGTTAGGTAGATGCTCTTTTTACTCCTTCTATTGTGTAACTCTCTGGCTATTTAAAGCCTCACCATTGTGATTATTATTAAGAAGAATTCTACACTTTATATGGTATCAGAGCATTATTTGTTTTAATCACCTTATTTTTTGATCCTCCCCACTACCCTCTTCTGCCATGGCTGTGGTTCCTCGTTCGGCATCCATAGCCCCGACCACTATCACGGCCGAAACACCAGTTATTCAGATTCATGCTAAAACTCATTTTCCAATTAAGCTCACCACCACCAATTTTCCTGTATGGCAACGACAGATTCGTTCCACCTTGATCGGATACAATCTCCTTGGATATATCGATGGTTCCCTTCCGGCACCACCACTCCATACTGACACTGCTCGCACGGTGGTTAACCCCTGCCATTTTATCTGGTTCCGTCAGGATCAGGTGATCATAAGCGCACTTCTCGGTAGCTGTATCGACACTATTCAACAACTGATCTCTATGGCCGACACTGCTGCGATCGCCTGGAGCAATCTCACATCTAGCTTTGCAAGTGCATCACATGGTCTTGTGGTGTCACTTAAATCCAAGCTCTCCAAAAATCCACGTGGCACACGCTCTGTTCAAGAGTATCTCACTGAGATGCAATCTATAGCAAATGACCTTGCCTTGGCTCAACATCCGGTCCCAGAAATGGATCTTATTGTGCATGTTCTCAATCAAATGGGTGAGGAATATGACACTATCGTGTCTGCTGCTCGAGTCCATGAGTCCAAACTTCCATTTACAGAATTGGGAGACATCCTAAAAGAACATGAGACAAAGCTAAAGGCAGCAGAAGAATCCAAGCAAACAAAAGTGGCCACTGCGCATGCAACCCAACGGTCCAATCCTGGGTCACACGCACGCCAGCAGTCCTACGGTGGGCGTCACACTAGTTCCCGTGACGCCTAATCAACCAGCAGCGTGGACGTGATCAGCAGCCAGGTAGTGGATCATCTGTGTGCTGCTTCTGTCAGATTCCGGGGCATACTGTACAGGTGTGTCGCAAGCTTGCAAAGTTTTTAAAGGAGAATGGGCTCTCTGTCACATAGCCACCTTTAGTCAATGTTGCTACTGGTGGACATCCCTCGCTCAATCAGTGGATGTTTGACAGTGGGGCTAGTCATCACACAAGTTCAAGTCTTGCTCCGCTTCAGGCCTTCTCCGATTATGGGGGTCCCGATGATGTCCGCTTGGGTGATGGTAAGGCCTTCCACTTTACAATTATCTAATGTTCTCTGTGTTCCTCAGTTACAACAAAATCTAGTATCAGTCTCTCAACTATGTCGTACTAACAATGTTTCGGTTGAATTTCTTTCTGATTCTTTTTCTGTGAAGGACCTGAAAACGAGGGTGCCTCTTCTTCGAGGTCGGAACGTTGATGGCATCTACTGTACAAACTTGTCCAAGTCTCCCTCAGTTCATGTCTCCACAAGCGTCTCCTTGACCGCGTGGCATCACCAGTTGGGTCATCCTTCCAATAAAGTGTTACAAGCTATGTTGGCTATGTTAAAAGTTCCAGTTTCTCCTACTCAATTTGATTCCTTTTATTGTAACGCGTGTCGTATTCACAAGAGTCACAAATTGCCTTTTTTTTAATAATACTCTTGTTAGCTCTACTCCGCTCCAATTGTTATACAGTGATGTTTGGAGTTGGAAAAATTCCTCTCTCGATGGGTTTACTTCTTATGTGATTTTTGTTGATCACTACACTAAATATATCTGGTTATACCCAATAAAACACAAATCGGATGTGCTACATGTCTTCTCTCAATTCAAAAATTTAGTTGAAAAGTTCTTCAACAAACCTATTCGCTCTATTTACTCTGATAATGGTGGGGAATTTGTTAAATTAAAGCCTCTGTTAACTAAATGTGGCATATCTCATCTTACAACTCCTCCCCACACTCCAAAACATAATGGTGTTGCTGAAAGGCGGCATAGACATATTGTTGAAACTGGTTTAGCTCTCTTAGAGTCTGCGAATCTTCCATCCTTATTCTAGCCAGAAGCTTTCCAAACTGCCGTCTACCTTATTAATCGGCTTCCCACACCTGTTCTCCGTGGGTCTACTCTGTATATGGCTCTCTTTCTCCAACCACCCAACTACGCCAAACTCAAAACATTTGGGTGCCTCTGCTATCCATGGTTGCGCCCTTACAACACCTCCAAAATTCAACCTAAGAGTACTCCGTGTGTCTTCCTAAGATACTCTACCTCCCAATCAGCCTATAGGTGTCTTGATCCTCAAACAAATCGGGTTTACCTCTCCCGACATGTTACATTTGTAGAACATGTCTACCCCTTCACTTCTCTCTGTCCTAGTCCTTCTATCCCTAAACCCTCTCAGTGCCCAATCTTGTGATCCCAGTGTCCTCCTCTTCCTATCCTACCCAGCCAGTGTCCACTGTCAGTGACCAACAACAGTGTCCGTCTAAGGGCAGCACTGTTTCCTCATCATTGCCAGTTACTGCACGACCACTTCCGTCCCTGCCTGCCCCAACTACATCTTCCACTGACTCGGCTGTTGCTTCTCTCCCTTCGCGTCCCACTCGTCTCAAACGTCCCAACTCTCGCTATCTTGGGCCTGAGTTTGTGGTCTCCACTGTCACTACTACATCTCCACCTCTCCCTTCCACTGTAGCCTTTCCGCTTCCGCTTCCACTCGAACCACACACCATCACTCAAGCACTCAAGGATTCTCGCTGGAGACATGCCATGGATGACGAGCACGCTGCTCTCCTTAAAAATCAAACCTGGACCCTGGTTCCACGCACAGGGAGGACTCCCGTTGGTTGTAAATGGATTTTTCGAGTCAAGCGTAAGCCGGATGGGTCTGTCGATCGGTTCAAGGCACGACTAGTGGCAAAAGGTTAACTTCAACAATTCGGTCGAGATTATTCGGAGACTTTTAGCCCCGTCATGAAGCCAGTTACTATTCGGGCTGTGTTGACAGTGGCTTTAAGTCGAAACTGGCCTGTTCGTCAACTTGATGTGAACAATGCATTTCTTCATGGCACGTTATCTGACGAGGTGTTCATGGAACAACCGCCTGGATACATTAACTCTGAGTTTCCCTCTTATGTGTGCAGATTACAGAAGGCAATCTTTGGGCTGAAGCAGGCACCTCGTGCCTGGTATCTAGAGTTGTCCTCGTTTCTAGTTGCATTTGGCTTTACGAAGGCGAGGTCGGATGCTTCACTTTTTTTTACTCTCGTGGAGATGTACTGGCTTACTTCTTAGTCTATGTGGATGACATCCTCCTCACTAGGAACTCGCCTATCTTTCTTGATCGATTTCTCAAGTTACTCTCTACCCGTTTCTCCTTGAAGGACTTGGAGGCACTACATCACTTTCTCGGGGTTGAGGCCATCTCTGTTCCAAAGGGTTTGTTTTTGTCCCAGGCCCAATATATTTCAAATATCTTGCAGCAACATCACATGGATGAGGCTAGACCGGTTTCCACCCCCATAGTTCCTCCGTCTGTCTCACCCGCTGCCACTCCAACAGAATCTGGTGATATCACTGCCTATCGTCGTTTGTTGGGGCAGCTTTAGTACTTAATGATTACTCGATCGGACATCTCTTTTGCCGTTAACAGACTTGCTCAATTTATGCATTCTCCAAAATCTGAACATTGGGTTGCTCTAAAGCGTGTGCTTCGGTACCTCAAGGGTACCATCTTTCATGGTTTATTTTTAGCCCGCGACTCTTCCCTCTCACTCACCGCATTCACTGATTCTGACTGGGGTGTGGTTCGTGATGGGGGGCGTTCTACAACAGCTTATGTTGTCTATCCTGGGTCCAATGTAATCTCTTGGAAGTCTACTCGGCAGAAGTGTGTTTCGCGATCATCCACCGAAGCTGAATATAGGGCCCTCGCTCATGCCACAGCAGAACTTCTTTGGCTGTGCAATCTTCTCACAGAACTTCGGCTCCCTATCTCAGTTCCTCCGCACATATACTATGACAATCTCAGTGCAACCTATTTTTCAAAGAATCTAGTTTTTCATTCCCGTATGAAACATCTTGTGTTGGACTATTTTTTTGTGCGTGATCTGGTCACAGCCTCTCGTCTTCATGTACATCACATTTCTACTAAGGATCAGGTTGCTGACATTCTTACTAAACCATTGGGTCGTGCACTTTTTCTCAAGTTTCGGTCCAAGATCGGTGTTTTTGACGGCACGCCCATCTTGCGGGGGTATTAAGCCTAAAGACTAGGCTCTCTTAGTCACTGACTTAGTCTCTTACTTCTCGTATTTATCCTATGTATTGTTAGCTGGACTCTTATCCTGTTGTTAGAGTAGTTAGGTATATCCTCTTTTTACTCCTTCTATTGTGTAACTCTCTGCTATTTAAAGCCTCACCATTGTGATTATTATTATTAAGAAGAATTCTACACTTTATATTTTCTAATAAGTTATTTTCCCATATTGTTCTTCAATACACAATAATCTTCTGAGTGATCTTTTATAATTTAGATTTATTCTTTAAATGGTCAATTAATATCTGTCAAATGTGAAAGAATTATTTTCGTGAAAATGATTTCTCAATCTCTCTTTTTCTTTAAACCGAAGGATCATAAATAGCTACAAGAGAAAAGCTATACATGGAATTCTATATGTAAATGGTAACTAAATTATTGCAATAAATTAAAGAACTAAATTTCCTAAAAAAATCTCCTGCGCATATCATGCTTGACATGCAAGTCTCGTCTGCATATCATGCTTGACATGATTTATTTCCTTAAGTGCACATAATTTATTTTTTCTTAACACCCCCTCAAGTTGGAGCGCATAAAATACCAAACAAATGCCCAACTTGGGAAAAAAAGCATAAAAACGTCTCTTGGCAAGGGCTTTCATATCCGCACAATAATTGTGTGTAGAAACATGAGATGTTTGGATAGAGCCACGTAAAAATTCATCACGAAAAAAATGACAATCGATCTCAATATGCTTGGTAAGTTCATGGAAAACAGGATTCAGAGCAATGTGAAGGGCTGTGACACAATCACAAAATATCTGCATTGGTGTAGAATATGACACACCAAGAAAATCGCAATAAGCCGCAAAGCCACTTAAGCTCACACGTCAAGATAGCCATGGAACGATACTCAGCCTCTACAAAATACTAAGCAATAGTTGGTTGTTTCTTCGTTTTCCAAGACACCGGGGAGACACCCAACTGAACAAACCAAGCGGTCAAACAACGTCGAGTTAACGGAAAAATAGCCTAGTCTGAACCACACCAACCAGTTAATGGAAGAGAACTATCAAAACGTAAAAGAATACCAGAGGCGGTGTGCCTTTAAGATAGCGAAAAATGCATAATACTATGTTCCAATTATCAGTCCGAGGATCCTAAAGAAACTGAGCAAAAGTATGGACTGCATATGATAAATCTAGAAGAGTAACAGAAAAGAATACAAGTCATCTGAGCGATATGCACCCAGGTCATCGAGAAGAGGTCGAGACACCAAAGAATGCTTATGTGGCTCTAGAGGAGCCCCTAGTGTGCGACACCTAAGTAGACCTCCTCAGCAATAATGTCAAGAGCATATTTTCGTTGTTACAAAAAAAAATACTTGTTCCGTTTCGAGCAACTTAAACACCAAGAAAATATTTTAAATTGCCCAAGTCCTTCATATGAAAACATTCTGACGTATATTTCTTGAAATGGGGGATTTTAAGGGAGTTATTTTCAGCAATGACCAAATTATCAACTTAAATGAGAACACGCACCACGAAATTATTCTTGTGGAACGAGAACAAGGAGTAATCCAAACAATATTGGACAAACCAATACCTATGAAGCACTTTAAAAAACTTATATCAAGGGGCTTTTTTCAAACCATAAAGAGACTTATGAAGTTGACACACCAAGTTCGGATTGTGAGAGCAAAAACCGAGAGGAGGCCGCATGTATACCCCTTCAGACAA